ACTGGACTGTAACTGGATTGAACTGGACTCTAATTGATGAACTGGGCAATAACTAGACTGTAACTAAATTGAACTGGACCATAATTGATTGAACTGGACTATAATTGATTGAACTGGACCATAACTGGACTGAACTGGACTGTAACTGGATTGAACTGGACTCTAATTGATTGAACTGGACTATAACTAGATTGAACTGGAGTCTAATTGATTGAACTGGACTATAATTGATTGAACTTGACCATAACTGGACTGAACTGGACTGTAACTGGACTGAAATGGAATACAACTGATGGAACTAGACCATTATTGATTGAACTGGACAATAACTGGTCTGTAACTGGATTTAACTGGACTCTAATTGATTTAATTGGACTATAACTGGGCGTAACTGGATTGAACTGGACTCCAATAAATTTAACTGGACTATAATTGATTGAATTGGACCATAATTGGACTGAACTGGACTGTAACTGGGGGGGCGCTGCGGGGGGGGGGGGGAGCCTGCCTGCACCACATCAGCACACACATGACCACCGTGACCCGCTGGCGCCTCCTGCTGGGCTGCAGGCGCCACTTCCTGCCTCCAGATATCAGAAACGTTACGGCCTTTTCCCAGAATATTCCCATTTTAAATCTGCTCCTTTTCCCAGAACAAAACATTTTAAATCAGCTCCTTTTCCCAGGAAATTCCCATTTTAAATCAGTTACTTTTCCCCGAACATTCCCATTTTAAATGCAAAAAACACCCCCCAAAAAAACAAAAGAAAAAAGTTCTTAAATTAAAAAACAAAACAAAAGTTTTTAAATAAAAACAAAACAAAAACAACCAAAAACCCAAATATTGTGGTTGAAATAAAACAATAATAAAAACAATTAAAAAAAAATAATAAACAAAACCAAAAAATTGTGGTAGTTTTTTTAAAAACAAAGCAAAAAACAAAAAAAAATTGTTGAATGCAGCAAAACAGAAGAATTGTTAAATGCAAGAAAAAAGGCAAACTGAAAATAGTTTTACCATGATCACCCCCCCCCCACCCCCCCCCCACACCCCCCCCCCCCCCCCCCCCC